CTGTCAGTCCACAGATAGCATGTCTACACAGGCCAAATGAAACAGTCTCTTCTCCCCATGGCTCCCTGTTTTCATGACTTAGGTCCAAAGCCCTACTTCGATTGCCGACTGTCTTCTTAATATGAGGTCAGTTCTGCATTGAATCTGGCCCATCCCTCCCTTAAACTGGTTTAAAAACATCATGCCTTTTACTACAAATTTTTCAAGGAAATCCAGAGCACTTCTTAGTGATGCTGGGCAGTTGTCTACACATGCATCCCACCATGCCACCCAGCAGCACTGCTGGTGGGTGCCTCATTTTCATCCTCAGAGGGTATGACTTGCACCAGTGCTGATGGCGCTGGATGGCACCATGGGACATGTATGTAGACAGGCACATGGTGTTGCTCTGGAGTGTGGAGGTAACAAACGGAATTCAAGGCAGCTCCAGGGCCAGAATATTCTGGGAGCAACTCGGAGTATTCTGGCTGGTGTAGACCCATCTGGAATTTCCAGGAGGAAAAAAGAAACAGTTGAGGCCAACAGACACAAATATTGTGCTGGTTGCTGGCAAATTAGAAGAAAAAAATTGCTGCCTCCCTCCATCAAATAGCCTGTGAAGCACTGATACATACCATGCAATATTTGTCACCCATAAATCTGTCCCTTTCCCAGTTCAGCTATAGAAAAGTAAAACATCTCCCTAATGCCACACACATTATTCTCCAACTTAACAAAATTCTCCCTCCTCTTTTTAAAAACTAGCTTCCTGTTATTGAATTTTCAAAGATCTGGTGGCACAGTCACCAGAACTTCAGTCTCCATCAAGAGAGAGACATCAAGGGGGAGAGGAATTCAGACATTAGCATTAATATTCCTAAAGCAGTGCTGCTGATGACCCTTGGAGCCATGTCAGACTGAATTATGGAAATTTAGTAAGGTTTTCTGAATGGAAATAAATCTATATATTTTTTCTTTACTTACATATGCTGAGTGGTTTGTGGTAATAGCTGCATGAGAGATTCCACCCCTCTTTCTTTCTTTCTT